CAGGGAAATTTTATTAATGTTTTCAATATATCCTCATGTGGAATCAACATATGTTTTTTATATATTCATAAATTTATGACTTCAAAACTCTTCAATACAGGGTGTTATGAATGTTGTAATGGATAGAAAATACATAATTGTGAAATGATGCTCTTGAATTTTCAAATACTCTTGATAACCATTAGCTCTTGCATATACTAATTACAATGAAATTTAAAACTTGTAAGTAATATTTCTGCAGCTTAGTTGCTTTGGCCCAAAGGAATTATTCCAGAATAAGCTGGCAGGTTCCTGCTTGGGGAATTAGGATTCCAATGTCCTTAACTTTAAAATAACTTGCATTTCATTTTATGCCTGTTTCATGAAGTAGTCATTCGTTTTCATACTAAATTGTAACCAAAGCAAGCCACATCAGTAGAGGCCAGTCACTGAGTTTACTATGTATTAGGTTGGACAAAGTAAAATAGATTGTTAAAAATGGTCACCAGGTGGTTGGGTTTTTTAAAAAAAACCTTGCTACTGACTTATAAAGGAAATAGAGAAGTAATCTCCCTGAATCTTTATATCCATATCCTGGTAGATAGTAGGATCACCGTAAGACATTGTTGAAGGAAGACTGAGTCTAAAATGGTGCATTATGTTTTGAAAATTCATGACATAAAATGCTCTCTTTTTCATATCACCATGCTGCAATTGTAGTGGGATTTGTAGTAGAGTTGTACATACTTTTTCGGTTTATATTTTAAGGCTCAACACTCAAGATGCAAATTAGTGACTCCTGGAAACTCAGCTTACAATTAGGACACAGCAGGTGGCAATGGAGTTTAGGCCGTTGCTATACACATGGTCTACACTGAAGGCCTGAGACACAGCCATAAGATACCTTTGATATATTCTTTCCTTACCTTTTAGTTTTAAGTTTCTTTTTACAAGAACAGTTTTTAATATAAATAGCTAAAATTAAGCAACTACTAAAAATGCATCTAAAAATTATTTCTGAAAATGTTTAAAGAAAATGCCATTTTTATTAAGTTTCAACAATTTTTGTATTCCAGTATTCCCATCAATTCAAATATATTTTTTTAACCTGTGACTCTCTAATTTGCTTGTTCCTTTGAAATTAGCATTAAATGCTTTATAGAGGTGCAAGTCAGCATGGTACAAAAAGCTTTTTGGTTATCACTTCACTAATCTATTAGCAACTTCCCTCAACTGGGGCTTTTCCAAAATAAGAGAGTAATTTCAATTACTTCTTCACTTTTCCTATTATTTATTTTCTTCTTTTGTTCATACATAAAAAGCAAAATGAAGTAGGCCATGTAAGTGAATGACCTTTTCCATAGGCGTAGCTGTTGTTTCCCAGTAGAATGGAGTCATTTTCTCCTTGACCAAGAGAAAGACTTCTCCACACCAATATATTTTTTTCTACCAGCCTCCCAGTTTGGTGCTGCTTGAATGATTAAAATTTGATGTACTCTTAGCAAGATTTTAATAAATTTAAGAATAAAATACCTATGACAAAATTTTAAAAACAGAAATATGCAGTGCTGCAAAATATTAAGACACAGCCAACCCATTGTGATAATCTGGGAAGATGTTCTGAACCACAAATCACGAAAGCACATCTACCTAAATATGATTTAACTACAAGTTAGGTAATGCTTTTGGAGGCAGCTATAATGCTGTTCTTTTCACTCCAAAATGTCCTTCTCCCAAAGCCTTCTAAATCTAATTAGGGATTATACCACCTCAAAAACACAAGATGAGAGGAGACAATGGGTACAAGTTGCAGTTGGAACAGAAAGTTTAAGGTGAAGGTAGTATGAAATGGAAATGGAGGAGGGAGAGTTTGAGAAAAACTGCAAAGGAAAAAGTGTGGAAGTTAATACACCGGACACAGTAAAATAGAAAATAACCACTACAGAAAATTAAAACCAGTAGTGTGGAGGAATATCTATAGAAGATTTCTTATAAGCACAAGAAAAGGTCAATGAAATGAGATATATATATATATGAGGAAATCATAGATGGATTAATGAAGAAATAATAGATGCAGAGAGAGGGAGCTCCAACCTCACAATTATAGGCATTTATGGAACAAGAGCAGTAATCAAAATCATAATCTGAGAATAATCAGCAGCATTGTAAATAAAGACCTTGAGTATTCCATTCAAAAAGGCTCACCATTTTCAGTAAAGACTGATGAAACACACGACTGGATACATCCTGATTATAACTTAACTTTTATATCAAATACTAACACAACAAAACAAGAGTACTATAACCTTTCAGGCAGAAACATAAAACACACAAGCAAAGGAATAATCATATTTCTCCTCTGCAAGTCTAAATGTCAAGGGTCAATGAAGTGTGTTTACAGCTTTGAGAAAAAAGGATCATGTAAGAAGTAATACCATATCATGCAGCATTGCCTTTCTTGTATGAAAGGCAAAGATTTAATCATATGCCAGCCATACATCCAACTAATTAAATAATATTTAGCCAGCCAAGAGTTAAAAACTCATACATGAAAAAATTCATATTATGAAAGGACTGGGATTTGTTTTAAAATACTTCTAAATATGTATTGTATGTATGGACAAAAATGAAAACCTAAAGATGTTTACCAAATAAATTTTATATTATATAAAAAAGAATGGACTCAGAAATCCCACTTCTAGGTATTTACCCGAGAAATGAAAAGCTTTGTTAGCATAAAACCTCCATGTGAATGTTTATAGCATTTTTTCATACTTACCCAAAACTAAAAACAACTCAAATATTACCTGGTGAGTGAATAAACAGTTGTACATTTGTGCAATAGAATACCACTCAGCAATTAAAAAAGTGCAAACTAGATACCTGCAACCACAAGAATGATTTTCAAATATATTATGCTAAAAAGAGCCAGTCTCAAAAAGCTACATATGGTGCGATTCCATTTATATAACATTTTGGAAAAGACAAATTATAGGGACAAAACCAACCAGTGGTTGCCAGGAGCTGAGGGTGGGGGAAGAGGCTGACTATACAGGGGCAACCTGAGGGCATTTTTGGGGTGATGGAACTGTTCCAAATATTCCTTGTGGTAGTAGTTACACAATTGTATGGGTTTGTCAAAACTCTTAAAATTGTATACATACCAAATAGAATTTTAATATATGTCAGTTTTTAAGTAGGGAAAAAGAGAAGCAATGTAATCACAAAAGGTAATATTGGCATAGCAATGTGAACATACTTAAACACTGAACCACACACTTAAAAGTGGTTAGGATGGTAAGTTTTATGTTATGTGTATTTTGTCACAATTTTAAAAGTTTTAAATTTACAGCTACAAAAATAATGTTTGTATAATGGACTGTGATGTAATCATTAAAATAATTTTTCCAAAGAATTATCAATGAAATGAGAAAATGCTTATAATATTAGATTAAAACAAATACTAGGATGAATTAACAGTATGATTTTCAATCCTGTAAATGGCAGAAACAATGGAGGGTTAAATGACAAAAGAATAAAGTTCTTGGTGATAGGATTTTGAGTGACTACCTCTATACTTCCTGGCACATTACTGGTTTCCACTTATTTCTTTTGTAATCAAGAAAAATGGAAGCATCAGAAGGTATATGCAGTGAGTTTAACATTGCTGACTCTATCAATCATTTCATATAGGCTCATATTTAAATCATAGTGGCAAAAAAATGACCTCCTATCCACTTTAAAATTATTTTGTTCCCATAGAAATAAATATTTTAGTAACAATTGAAATAGTATCTATTGACTTTTAATTCAAAATGATTATTTAAGCCTGTGTTTAGCTTTCCTGGCTCCACATTTGCCATTGAATTCACCAGGAAAACATAAAGGGAAAAAATATGTAACTCCATTGAAAAATTGGGAAAAGTGCCATGAATAGATTAGATATCTTTAAGGAGTTTATGTAAAATATAGACGGACAAGCACTGGACTAAGGGAAGTACCTGTTGGATGGAATTCCAGTCTCCCAAAGGAAAACTGCCTGGAAAGTGAGTGGCGGGGTCCCAGAGCTAGTGGCTGTGGGGGAAGATAGGTTATGTGGTGGTCATCCCTGGAAAATTCTCAGACTTACCAGTATTAGCATCCCAAGAATGCTGTTCCAACATGACTTTGTATAATCCCATTTGGTAAGGTCAATGATTGAAATAAAGTAGGCTGGGTACAGTAGCTCACACCTGTAATCCCCCCACTTTGAGAGGCTGGGGCGGGTGGATCACTTGAGGCCAGGAGTTCGAAACCAGCCTAGCCAACATGGTGTAACCCCGTCTCTACTAAAAATACAAAAATTAGCCAGGTATGGGGGTGTGCACATGCAATCCCAGCTACTCTGGAGGCTGGGGCTGGAGAATTGCTTGAACCTGGGAGACGGAGGTTGCAGTGAGCTGAGATCAAGCCATTGCACTTCAGCCTGGGAGACAGAATAAGACTCTGTCTCAAAAAAAAAAAAAAAAAAAAAAAAAAAAAAAAAAAGAAGCATTACTTCAAGCAAATTTCTAACAGACACTGTTGTACTAATTAAAGGAAGACAGTGAGTGCCCTGCTAACTTGAGTTGCTTCAGTAAGGGAAGAGAAATGTCCTAGTGGAAACATGCTACACAAATGCTTCTGCATGTAGCTTTTCCCTTTTCATTATAGAAAAGAATACACATATTCACACATGAGACACACACATATTGTACATTAATTGTAATGGTTATACGGGCCGTTGGGTAAGAATTGCATGTGAGTACTACTATTACCTAAAGAATTCATTCTTTATTTAATGTGACACTTCCACAAGACTTCTTGGCCCCCAATCCTTGAAAATTAGTTTCTTAGAATTAAACTTTGAATCTTTGGGGTAATGTGCACTAGTGAAAGTTTTACAGGGAACCAATGCCTTGTATTTGATTTTTTTTTTTTTTTAAATGCTGCCTCTTCTATGAAATCATGATTTCTTCTTTCTTCTTTCTTTTTTCCTTTAGGAATTGTGAAGGGCAGAACATTCGGTACAGGACATGCAGCAATCATGTAAGTCCTAAAATAAAAATATTTTATCCAATACAATATGTTCTTGTTTTAAGTTACAATGTTCCAATGTGTACTGTAAAACGAATGGTCTCTTAATACCCTTTGTGGAAAATTTAAGTATTTCTTTAATTGACAACAGATTATGTATATCAAATATCTTCCATTTATACTACCTTTTTAGGCCATATCACATTCATGATCTAATTTGTTAAGTATTTAATAATTTCTGAAGTCATAGAAACAATACATAATATCTGCTTTTATGTTCATTATCTTACCTGACCTTCGCACTGTCTCTAGGCAGGCAAGGTCCGGTTATTTCTCTTTTGCAAGTGAGAGGACTGAGGCTGAGCAAGGTAAAATTATTTTTTGAAGGTCACATAGGAAGAGTAGACTTACTTGAACTAGTCTGTTGCTATTTCTACCTCAGTGTCAAGGAATACTGTAGGTGACTCATCAGCAAATCACACAGAAATATACAAAACCCTACTCTTATTTTACATCAGTCAACACTAAAAATAAAAATTCAAATATCTTACTTTAGAAATTTGAAAATAAGGCTCATGCCTGTAATCCTAGCACTTTGGGAGGCCAAGGCAGGCAGATCACTTTAGGTTAAAAGTTCGAGACCAACCTGGCCAATATGGTGAAACCCCGTCTCTACTAAAAATACAAACTTAGCTGGGCTTGGTGGTGCGTGCTTGTAATCCTAGCTACTTGGGAGGCTGAGGCAGGAGAATTGCTTGAACCTGGGAGGTGGAGGTTGCAGTGAGCCGAGATCACACCACTGCACTCCAGCCTGGGCAACAGAGTGAGACTCTGTCTCAAAAAAAAAAAAAATTGAAAATAAACAATAAACACCAGAAAGAATCCATTCTATTTTCCATTCAAAGCATTTCCTGGTTATCAGTAAGAGGCTAACTAGAGGTACTTGGCACTTACCTCCTCATACACAAAAAGACCAAAACAACAAATAAACAACTACAATTAGACTAGAGTATCTGAGGGAGAGCACTGCAGTATAGCAAGGGAATGGCAGAATCCCTGTGGCAAACAGTAACTCAGGATGGCAGCATAGAGAGGAGGGTGAAGTACTCTGCCTCTACTACTCCATCTCCTCTGTCAGGTAAGCAGGGAGCCCCCAGCAGCCCTGTTACCAGTACAGATACAGGTAGTCCTTGCTACAGGTGAATGTGGCAGTCCTCACAGGCCCTTGGGGGAGCTGTCTGGAGTTCCCACAGCGGCATTGTTTCACAGTAGGAGCTCACATTGTACACTGCCCACCTCCCATGACCCAGGCTGTTATGGCACAGTGACACCTTGAAACTGGAGCCACTGCTAGAGTGTGCTCTACTCTGGGGAACAGTAACCACTGATCTTTCCATCCGTGAGACTCCACTGTCATTCTTACATGCTCACACAGATGACTGTGGCACCACAACCCCAGCTGTTTAGAACCTAGGCCCAGTGAAATGGTGATGACCCTTGCATCCAAGTCCACATGACACCCTTCCCTGCAAGGAACAGGTGATCCTGCACAGTTGTGCATGTACCTCCAGCTTAAGAACCAGCCTGGTGGCCCTTTCTGTGGCAAAGCTGCACCACTACTGCCCTAAACTCCTGCAGTCTAGGCCATTGAGGCACTCAGAGATATTACTACATGGATTATACCTGATGAAGCTGTATGGAGACCCAACTACTGTGTCCACCCAGAACCAATGTGAATTCACACTACTCAACTGACACCATAGGACACATCTGTAGGAAAAAGTCTTTCCTTATAAAAGCTACTCTGTAAAATTGGAAGCAGAAACGGATTCAGCAGATGCACAGATATCAAAGTAGATGCACAAGGCTAGGTGTGGTGGCTCATGCCTGTAATCCCAGCACATTGGGAGGCTGTGGCGGGCAGATAACTTGAAGTCAGGAGTTTAAGACCAGCCTATCCAACATGGTGAAACCCTATCTCTACAAAAAATACAAAAATCAGTTGGATGTGGTGGCACACACTTGTAATCCCAGCTACTTGGGAGGTGAGGCAGGAGAATCTCTTGAACCTGAGAAGCAGAGGTTTCAGTGAGCTAAGATCACACCACTGCTCTCCAGCCTGGGTGACAGAGCCAGATTCCATCTCAAACAAGCAAGCAAAAAACAAAACAAAGTAGATACACAAGAAACTTGAGAAAGCAAAGAAACATGACACCTTCAAATGAATGTTATTCTCCAGTAGTAAACCCCAAAGAAAAGGAAACTTACAAAATGTCTTAAAAAGAAATCAAAGTAGTGATTTTAGGGAAACTTGCGAGATACAGAAGAATACAGATAAAAAATGTAATGAAATCATTTGAATTTACAATAGCTACATTTATAATAGCTACAAAAAGTAATATACTCAGGAGTAAATTTAACCAAGAAGGTAAAAAATCTGTACATTAAAAATTATAAAACATTAATGGCCAGGCGTGGTGGCTCACGTCTGTAATCCCAGCACTTTGGGAGGCTGAGGTGGGTGGATCATGAGGTCAGGAATTCGAGACCAGCCTGGCCAACATAGTGAAACTCTGTCTCTACTAAAAATACAAAAAAATTAGCTGGGCGTGGTGGCAGGCACCTGTAATCCCAGCTACTTGGGAAGCTGAGGCAGGAGAGTCACTTGAACCCAAGAGGTGGGGGTTGCAGTGAGTTGAGATTGCGCCATTGCACTCCAGCCTGGGTGACAGTGCGAGACTCCATCTCAATATATAAATAAATAAACTACACAAAACATTAATGAAAGAAATTAAAGAGGATGCAAAAAGAGGTGTTCATGGATTGGAAAAATTCACATTGTTAAAATGTCCTTACTATCCAAAGTGATACACAGATTTAATACAATCCCTGTTAAAATTCCGCGCGGTGGCTCACGCCTGTAATCCCAGCACTTTGGGAGGCCGAGGCGGGCGGATCACGAGGTCAGGAGATCGAGACCATCCTGGCTAACACGGTGAAACCCTGTCTCTACTAAAAAAAAATACAAAAAATTAGCCAGGTGTGGTGGTGGGCACCTGTAGTCCCAGCTACTCGGGAGGCTGAGGCGGGAGAATGGCGTGAACCCAGGAGGCGGAGCTTGCAGTGAGCCGAGACTGCGCCACTGCACTCCAGCCTGGGTGACAGAGCGAGACTCCATCTCCAAAAAAAAAAAAAAAAAAACCAAAAAAAACACAAAAAAAATTCCAGTGACATTCTTCACAGAAAAAAAAAAATCCTAAAACTTGTATAGAATCACAAAAAGGCTCTGAACACCCAAAGCAATCTTGATTAAAAACAAACAAACACAAAAATCAAAACTGGAGGCATACCACTACCTCACATGAGAAAGTGATAGTAACTAAAACAGCATGGCATTGGTGTAAAAATACACACAGATCAATGGCACAGAATAGAGAGTCCAGAAATAATTCCACATATCTACAGCCAACTGATTTTCAATAAGGGTGCCAAGAATACACACTGGGGAAAGGACAGTGTCTTCAATAAATGGTGTGGGTAAAATTGGATATCTATATGCAGAAGAATAAAACTGGACCCCTATCTCTCACCATGTACAAAATCCAACTAAAAATGAAGTGAAGATGTACATGTAAGACTTGAAAATATGAAACTGATAGACAAAAACAGAGGAAATGCTTCATGACATTGGACTAGGTAAGGATTTTTAAAATATGATCTCAAAAGCACAGACAATAAAAACAAAAATAGACAAATGGGATTATATTAAACTAAAAAGCTCATGTACATCAAAGGACACAATCAAGAGTAAAGAGACAACCTATAGAATGGGGGAAAATATTTGCAAACTAGACAGCTGGACAAGGAAAGAATATCTAGAATATATAAGGAATTCAAACAACTCAGTAGCAAAAAAACCCAGAACAAATAATTTGATTTAAAAATGGCAAAAGGCCTTAATGAACATTTCTCAATAGAAGACATAAATACCAACCCAGGTGTATGGAAAAATGCTTAACATCACTAATCATCAGAGAAATACAAATCAAAACCACTATATCACCTCATTCCACTTAAAATGATTATTATCACAAAGACAAAAGACACAAGTGTTTCCAAGGATGTGGAGAAAAGGGAACCCTTATATGCTATTAGTGGGGATGTAAATTAGTTCATCGTTTGTGGAAAATAGTATGGAGTTCCTCAAAATATTAAAAATAGAACTACCATATGATCCAGAATCCTATTACTGGGTATATATTCAGAGGAAATGAAATCAGTATATCACAGAGACATACTCACTCACATGTTTATTCTAGCACTATTCAATGGAATCAACTTAAGTGTCCAACAATGAATGAATGGAGAAAGCAAATGTGGTATATATACACAATGAAATACTATGCAGCCATAAAAACAAGGAGATGTTGTCATTTGTGACATGGATGAATCTAGGGGATATTATGTTAAGTGAAACAATCCAGGCAGAGAAAGACAAATACCACATAATCTCATTCATATGTGGAATCCAAAAAAAAAAACCTTGATATCATGAAAGTAGGCAATAGAACAGTGGTTACCAGAGACTGGGGAGGGTCGGGGGCAGGTAGAGATTGGGAGAGGTTGGTCAAGAAAGTTACAGCTAGGAAGGAAGGATGATTTTTGGTGTCCTATTGCACAGTAGAGTAACTATAGTAAACAGTAAGACATTGTATATCTCAATTTAGCCAGAAGAGAGGATCTTCAGTGTTCCTACCACAAAGAAATGATAAATTTTTGAGGTGGTAAACATGCTAATTACCCTAATTTGTTCATTATATAATGTATACATGTATTGAAATATCAAGTTGTACCCCATAAATATGTGCAATTTGTGGAGCCCTAAGGAGTTGAAAGAAAACTGAAAAATGAGCGTAGCTGGCAGAAACAGAAGTAGGGGGTAGAGAGGAACAAATGTTCTGAGAAATAGGGTCAACTGCAAATGGCTCACTAGCACCCAAGCATCCTGTTAC